GAATGGCGGAAGAAGCGTTTGTTGCGCTAGGTTTATATTTGACAGGTATCGAACGATATTTCCATTCGGCGAACTTCTGTTTCTGTTCACCGATGGATACAAAACTGCGAGCTTCGATATATGATGACATTCGTTTCCCAGATCTACATTTTTCTTCTGCTTGCGCTTCTGAAACTTCACGCTCGATAGAAACGCAGTGCGACGTGCAAGACTTTCCGCGAATAACAGATTTATCACCGTCGAATCGAATTTTTTGATTAATGATCAATAGGCTAGAATGTTAACCGACAAAAAAGAAAAAAATATCGCGAGACAATTTTATATTTAAATATATAAATAATGAAAAGATCCTAATTTTAATTTTTAAAGTATTTTTAATAGTCTACAAAAATAAAATAAATATGCAGATATTTACATTTTGAAGGAAAAGTTTTAATTTAAATAAATTAAAAGATTAAATCAAATTAGATTAAATTGAAATCAAATAAAATATGTTACAATTACTTGTAAAATCATCTATTACGCAATGTAAATAAGATACGAGTGATCAACGTACAACGAGATTGAAATTTAGAAAACTTTTACGAATATACAAAATATAGAGCTGGTTGAAATTCGGAACGTTCCTGCAGCGATATTTTTAAAATGATTTATCTCATTCACAATTTTGCACAGAGTAGTTTTTAAGTGTCACAAACGCAATACTAAATATATTACGATCGAATACACGTTGGAAGGCATCCTTATGCTCGAAAAATCACCCTCCAGATCAAAAAATTCTTGAAACATTCTTGCTTCACGAAAAATGATTTGTCCCGTTTTATATTTTGTACAGAATTCTGGGTTCCAGACAAAAGACCAAAAAAATATTCTGATCGGATGCACGCGTCGGAAAACAACCTTATAATCGAAAAACCCTCCAGGTCATTTAAAAAATTCTTGTTTCATAGCAATGTTTGAGAACATTATTATAACATTCTCAAAATGTGGCACTGAAGAACTTCCGGGCCTTGATTCTTAACAAATTAATTTTACAATGTACTTATTTAAAATTTGTTTTTTTATTGTAATTTTAGATGTATATATAATTATTTTATAATTCTATTGAGTATAAGCAGTATTTTTATTTATTTTAGATTATTATTTTCTCGAAGAGACCGGACTTCAATGTCGCGTTAACGCACATTATTCTATATACAGTGCGACAGCTCATATCTAATTGCATGCGCGATGAATAACGAAAGAATGAGAGACCGAGAGAAAGAGAGAGAGAGAGAGAGAGAGAGAGAGAGAGAGAGAGAGAGAGAGAGAGAGAGAGAGAGAGAGAGAGAGAGAGAGAGAGAGAGAGAGAGAGAGAGAGAGAGAGAGAGAGAGAGTGGGAGATAGAAGTAAAACAATAGGGTGTTTCGGAAACAGGGGCGAGATGTGGCCGCAGAAAGGAGAATAAAGGTGTCAAGTAATGTGATATATGGGATCGATTTGAATCCGGCGTTTAAGCTGCGAGCCATAATTCAATCTCGATCGCCTTTTCCTTCCTTTTCCATCTCCGCGGATCTCCCGTTTCCTTGTCGTCTTCTTCGTCTTCGGTCTCTGCCTCTCGCTTGGTCATGTACTATCCCTCAAGGGCACGTTCGATACTCAATATATACTTAAGTACATATCCGAGCTACTCTCGCGGTACCCGATCCCGCATAATATATACGCGTATCGTGAACCCCGTTGACTCCTTAAGCCTTGTACACATTGTCTTTTTCGATTACGGGCGGATTTCTTTATAGGATTATCGCGCCGTTCAAAATGGATATCGCGTCTCATAATTTCCACTCTGGCGCATTAGCAATGCCGGATATGTGTCGGAACAATCCCAAAATTTTTGCTGAAACGCGGAAATCAAAAATAATATTTATCATTTTATACAAAATAAAATCTTTCAAAAGTTTTATTTTGATTTTTGTCATTAAATTTGATAACATTTACAAAACGTTAAACAGAAGGTAACGCATTTAATTCGCGCAAACTCAACGAAACATATATTCCTCTATTGTTACCGATTTCATATTAATTCCGAGTATTTGATTACAGCTTTCGACGATAAACGCACGTTCGCGTAATGCAACATAGTTGAATTATTGTTGAATAAGTAACCCATTCGCGTTGGCGAATAAAATAAATCGAGAATATGATAGGAGCACGTGAGATAAGAGTCACGCGTGGATGTTGAATTTATTTTACATGAGATTCTCGGCCGTCTGTGTGCAAAGCGCATCTTATATCGTTGACGTGACGAAACGGAACTCACGTTTTTCCACGTGATTGTGTGTGTAAAATGTCAAGCGTGTCTAGGTCTGGGCACGTAAAAAAGGGAGCCTCGATGATATTCGAGCGAGAAATCTGAAGATCATGTAGCAGACGTACACGCCTTCGCGTGTAGGTAAATCGTTATCGTGTAAATATTACGTTAATGCAACGAAAGCATTCTTATATTCGCAGTATGTTTTTGATATTTTCTATCAATATCGATAGAGAGAAAGATGTGTGTGTGTATATATTTGTGAATAAACATATCAACGTATCGCGCAAATTCAAATTCTGGTCAGTGTTTTCTTTATATTAAAGATTCTGTGAAATATCCATGTTTTCAGAATTGTGTCATCATGTAATTGTTTAATATTTTGCTAAATCCATTATTTATCAGTACTCATAGTTAATATTTACAAATGCTTTTTTATTTTGTAGAAGAAGCTGCGATATACAGAATATATATACAATATAATAAAATTTGTAACATTTTAAAAATTAAGAATTATTTTTAATAAAATTACAAGTTTTGATTTCTATTAAATATGAAATTAAGAATTATTTTTATATCAAAATTATGTATAAATATAAATAAATGTTGCCGCTAGTAACTAATGATTCAATTAATATTCAATAAACATTATCAATATTATTCAATCAATATTCAAAATAAAATATATCTACTCACGTATCGCCGCTATTTTCCGCTTTGTTTCTTCCAGGCATAAATCTCTCGGAAAAAACTCGGATTTCTGAAATCTCAAACAGAAACAATTATTATACAAATGTATACAGATTTTGTATATATAACAGTCGACTGATACCTATTTATCGTCCAACTCGCGTACTGACTTTGTATTCGTCAGCGTATTGCGTTCTCCACCAAACTGTTTAACGTTTTTTGCGCGTTTCTCTTGTTGTAAGAAAATTTTATGTATAAACGTATCGAATGTATTGAATTTTCGCCAAATTTCCGTTGTATTAAAAATGCACGATCACGATCAGCCTCATCGCTCGATATTGTATCGATAACTTTACTTTCCGTCAATTTACAAAATGATCTCTGTATGCATTATCGCATGTTATTTGCACATTTGAAGCCTGTAATACAGTCCGGAATTGAGAGAAATCAAATGAATTTTCGGATTAATTACGATATTTTGTAATAGTTTCATCATTCTACGACGATATTCGGAACTACAATCTGTGTTATTTGCCTCATATGGCTTGCGCATCGGTGTGAAGTTGGTGTTGCAAATTTCAAATCTTGCGTATATAAAGCCAATGGCACATTGAAAATTAATTTGCGCTTTTTGATTTTCGTCAAAATCATTCTGCTGGTGAATTATATACAAATAATAAATAACAAGTAGTAATTTTGATGAAAAATTCTTATTATTCACAAATCTCATACGAATAGTAAATTCTAAATTTCAAATCATATACGAATTGCACACGAATTGCGAATAGAATAGTATTAATTTAAAACTTTAACAGTAAATAATAATTTATCAAGTTAAGACTTATGGCTCCTGCGCATAAGGAAGGAATTATTAGAGACAGGAATAAATATTAAATTTTGGAAATAAAAATTCGGAATAAAGATTAAACGTAACGCAGAAATAGGTATAAAATATAACTATATTTTACATCTACGTGTACCCATGTGCGTTACTTTTAATTCAAAATTTTTCTTTACTCCGAATTTTTATTTCAAAAATTTAATATTTATTTTTTCGTTTTGTGATACATGTGAAAAAAAAAACTTATATTTAGATTGCTTTAATAAATTACATTGAAAAAGTGTAAATATGTCGTTTTTATATTTTATAAATCACCAATTTACCAATCTTTATCTAAGTTTGACAGTGTCGATCTACGGCCACGGACTGACACCTAGACAAAAAATACAATATCAAGCCCTAGGGACCGACGCCGGACAAACGGAAAGATCAGTGTCTCTCTGCGCCGGCCGAACAGAATAACAAGATTGGTTCCGTAACCAATGTGTAAGGGCATTTAGCGTGTTGCTAAAATGTAATATAAAAAAATTCTCTTCGTAAAAAGACACCACGATTTTTCCAAGGCATATATATATATATATATATTTGGACGAAAATGAGCGTTTTTCCGAAAAACGTCTGTTTTCTTCGAACGTTGTTTGTACAACATCGTAAAGGGGATGGTCGTTAACTCTGCCATTGCGAGAACCGCATGCACATGATAGATTTGTCGTCGAGAGAACGAGGGAAAAAGGAAACTATGAAAAACGGAGATGGTTACGCGTTGTACGTAAGCCAGACAACGAGCGAGAGATAAACAATGCGGACGGGGAGAGGGAGACAGAGCATAGGGTCCCGTACGCGCGCTCGCTTCCGCGGCGTACGGCCGAGTAGGAGACAAAAGTGGGAGTGGGGGTGGGGAAGTATCTGAGCGGGAACCGACACAAGGCGGTAGTACACGCGCAGCCGCCGGGACGTGCGCGTCTTGTATGTTTTTCTCTACGGACTTGGGAGGGAGGAGGCGGAGGAGGAGGAGGAGAGGGAGAAGCCCGCGAAATCGCGATCAACGCGGCACTGCGCGTTTGGATCTCGCGGTCACATCACGGTCATACTATCGGTCTCGATAGTCGCATTTTATTCAAATTACGAATATAAAAAAATCGAACGTTCTTTCCAAATCGAGATTTAACGTTGTTTAACGTTTGTTCGTCCGCGATAAAGTGTCACGCGTTTCGCGCCGCCGAAATATTTGCGAGAAGTTGTCAGTGACTGTGCGCTCGACGAGAAAAGTCGTCCATCGTTTTGCAGAGACGCATTATTGTTGACGACGTAAGAATAAGATATGATGATTTTGGTGCTTTCATTGAGAACTCACGACAACGCTCTCTTCGCGTTATTGGTCCTCTTCGATCCGCGATCGTATCGCATCGTACGCGCTACTTTCGCTGCACCTTGAAAAGTGGCAACTCAGTCTTCGATCGAATTGAATTCTAACGGTTGCAACGGATTCAGATTCACATCGGCGATAATTAACGATACCGTATAAACTTTTACAACATTATATCTTTTTAATTACAAAATACGATCTTTACAATTCGCGTCGAAATCAGTGTCGAAGTTAAAATTTCAGTGTCGATTTCGTCCGTTTCCGAATGTGAAACATTTATAAACGGATAAAAAGCCATACTTGTTCAATGAAATTCTGTTCGTTTCCTTTACGTGGATTGAGAGTCACGCCAAATTATTTTGGGGCGATGCACCGGAAATTATTTCGAGTCGCGCGAAGTGAGCCATTCTTCTATTCTTTGTGCAGATTTGAATCCCCCGCAGCGTCAAATGCCGGCCGGAACCCGTGCGCGCTCCCGGTAATCTCGACGGAATCCCGGCGATCGTGAATTCGTGAGTGTACAAATATAATCGTAAGAGCAGCCGAGGAATCTCCAGAGATGCGTCTGCATCGGGCGCAAGTGTCGTGGAAGGAGGAGGACGATTCAATGACAGATCATGAAGCGTCGCAGTGTGGACATCGCTAAGGATCATTATTTCTGTCACGACATCTCACTCACGGGTTTGGGTGAGTCAAAGATTTGTCCATATTATATGTTACATTATACCCAAATTTGGAAAAAAACTGTTATTGTCCTTGTTTAATTTTTAACCTAATTATGTTTTTCTTATAAAATTCAACATATATTCAACATATGTTTAAATGTAATATTCGAGAAATATTGATTATTTTGGTTTTTGAAGTTATACGAATAAATGCATTTTTTTATCTTACGGAATGATATAATTACCATAATTTCTAGGAAATAGAGTATTTTTTTTATAAAATTTGATAAATTGTTGCTTACTTTATCGCATGACATGACTCGTTTTTAATTATCCATCTTTTTTATTTCGTATTAATGTTAACGTTGATATTGGGATAATTATATAAAATCTGTTTTTTTCCAATGAATATTAGAATATTTGTTACAATTATACCGCACGGCGTTAATTATGTATACAGAATTTATAATTACAAGGCCATAATATTTAGATATATACGATATATGTATTTATCGTGTAAATAAATATGCAAATAAATAATTATTTCTATATATTCTATCTATATATTAATAACACGCAATTGACAAATATAATAGATTATAATTTTGTATTTTTACTATAAATAAATTATATTAAATATTTATTATTAAAGATAGAAAATGTTTATATGAATAAAAATTAAATTGAATTGATGATACAAATATTGTGGCTCATATCTTCATACAGAAGGAATTGAAACCATACTTAAAAGATTACTTAAATTCAAAGTTATAATGTAGTTTAAAAAGTAGTTTGTAATATTAAATATTGTCAAAGTCGAAAATTTACTCTTATTTTTGATCTTAGTTTTAAAATTATAGATTTAAATAAAGGATTATGATAGAGATTCATTTTATATGAGTTGAAATTCTTTGGTGAGATACTTTGATGTTCAAAAGAGGAATTTTTTGTTATATTTAACAGACTTTTATGATTTCTGGATATGAGCTATAGATATTAAATAATATCAAAGTAGATGCAAAAATTGTATTATATATTTAAGGAAAAAAATTTTTTTAATTTAAAGATAATCATTTAATATGACAAGTTACGATGCTGTTGAGATAAATTACAATAGAACGAACTGAAAATTGAGATAAAAATTACATCACTCTACTACGAGGAACTTAATCGCGACATCAGAAAATACTATCACACGATACTATCACAAAATATAGCATTTGCGAGATAGAAAACGATGCAGCGCGTTTGATACGACGAAAAGATCGTTAGTCTGGCACAGCTTCCGTGAAAGGTTGGAGAACGCGACATGATTCCGTTGAAGAAGACCACCTCTTCAAGTAGGCGCTTAAACGTCAACATTTTGGAGAGCCCAGTCACTCGCTACGAGTGCATCGCTGGAGTGCAGCAACCGCTCTGTCCTCTCGTGACATCTCGGTTTCTTCTCTTCTATCCTCCCTTTGCCGTTCTATCTGAAAGAGAAGCGGCAAGAATTAATGCGCGATATAACGAGAAATTCAGATCAACAGAATATTTTCAGCCCTTCTATTAATTGCGCTTCCATTTCCGCTTCACCGATCACGTTTGTACGCGAAATATATTCAAACTGAAGTTGTTTACCACACGGATTCGCAATGAGATAATTTGAAGCATATTGGTACGTTTGAACAAGGGATTGTCGATTGCAAGTTTATTTAGAGGAAAGCACCTTTTTTTTTAAAGCACTTTTTTTTGTAAATTATGTTGGTACAAAAATCAAGAAGACTATTGTGCCGTAGGTAATTTCGTTCGCGGTTTTCATTCGAAGCAATATCGGTTATTAAAATAATTTGTTACGAAATATATTTTACGCTGAATGGTTTTTTATGACGGTAAAATTATTTTTAAATTTAATAAAATTTTTTTGTAATTTTGTAAAAAATTTTATTGAGAATATTAATTTCATAAAAATTTTATTGAGATAAAAGGTAGCATCAAATGTATTCGAAACAAAATGGTTGCAAAATGTATTTAGAACAATATACGCACATAAAATATATTTGAAACGGTATAATTTATCATATCTTTTTTTTAAATATTTTATAAAGGAATATCTTGATAATTTATTAAAAATATATATTAGTAAACTGTATTGAAGCAAGATATCTTAAAGCACACAAAATATAGTCAAAATTATATTTAATAAGAGTATTTGCGGTATATATTATCGGACTTATATCAAAACATATTTAGTTACAATATAATCAAGAGTTAGTTTACAGAATATACGAACGTAATTTACAACAAACTATATTGAATGTAATACGATATGATGAAGGTACATTCGGTATCATATCGTACGTAATATTCCACATAACGTAACATACGTGGATTGGATTAAAGCAAGTTAGCAATGCGGAATATGTGTGAAACAATATCTAATCATGAACAATATTCATGATAGACTAGATTAGTTCATTCCGAAGTATATTGCTTACGGCAGTCTGTAACATACAGCAAAATATACTCGTGCCAATATAACTTAGTGCAATGCACCTGACGCCTTATCATGGGCAATATTTGGTGCAACGTAACTTATCACTATCTATATATTGCGAGATGGCTTATTGAAGATTACACTCGAAACTACTATCGATCGTGCGGAATATATTAGCAATTAGTTATATTATCATAGAATACATTTGGAGTAACATAACTTATTACGACAGCAATCGATGGACAAAGATAAGAAACAAGTTTAGGTGATGGGAAAAGAAGTAAGGAAAGGGCGAAATCACGGAGTAGAGAGCTAGAGAAAATTGAAGAGGTCGCATCGTTGATGAGTGCGCTGAACCAGGGCTCTTCAGATCTAGGGGAGGTCCTACTCTAATTTCAGCGAGACGCTTCTCCGTGCCTCTCTCCTCATTTTCGCGGCCTTCGTTTTAGAGTCTATATGTTGAAAGCAAGATTGTGTGTCACGCAAGTATGGGAGAGAGGCGCAAGAAAGAGCAGAGACGAATCACTTGTCCTCGAAGAAGTTCCATCCGTTCCATCCGTCGAGTGCGGTGAGAAGCCCTTCAAGATGAGACGACGGGAAACAGAGGACAGTCCTCTGTCCGCGACTTTCCACCTCGCTGAGAAATTTTCCAATTGAGCGCCTGACCCCGAGCCGGATTAATGTTTAACCCCGTTAACAATGGACGCTTTTAAGAAACGTTGGCTGCGCCTCAGAAAAACTCAGCCGAGATGCGCCACTAAAAAATGCAGCACGTTACTTAAGCCGCTTGCACTTAAGTAATATTTCCCACCGCAAGAGCTACGGCAACTTTACATGGTATATTTTGTAAGAAGTAGGCTCTGTGCGAGCAAAGATAATGTATGGAGTTTTATCTAAAAGATATATATTTATAAATAAGAAAAGAAAGGAGATGATCCAATATATATTTTTATGTAAAACTTTTTTAGAAGAACATTAAGTATTAATAATAATATATGATTAGATAAATAATTAAATTAGGATATTTAACATTTACTTTTCATAAAATTTTATAAAAATTTATTACAATGACATATTGGATTGGATGACGTTTGGATTTTCGATTAAATATTTTATAAAATTATAAATTATAATTAAAATGATATACCAAGTTTGCTTATATATATATGCGAATATCAACATATTTACGAATGCAGCGTAAAACTTAATTAAATTTATTAAAGATACTTGATATATTAAATGCGTGTAAGATGCAATTCTATTGCTTGCCAAATTGCATTGTCTTCAAATAATCGATTATCACATTTACGTAAATGGAAACAATCTGGAATTCTTCCATTATTTATTCAGCGAATCGATCGCGTAGGTGTAAAAATCAATGCTATTACTTACGATATTCACATATTTAGTATATTTAGTGATCTAATATTTACGGATCACAAACGGATGTGGTTGAACGAGAGAGAAACGGAAATACATAGAGGGTAGTATAGTGTTTCATTTTGAACGAAGAGTATTCTCCACGGATGGCTGGTTCGCTCTAAATAGGCAATATTACCTATTGACTTTGGTTCATAGGACTAGTTAATGGTTAAGTCGGATACGATTTTAGCGAAATTTGTCTAGATGCGGTTGCATCTTTGTATTAAATTTAATTTTAAGAGTGATTATCGAAACTAGAAATATTAGAACTTTGAAATACTAGAATTTTGAAATAAATTATAGAATTAAAAAGAAAGGATACAAATGTATCAAAACATATTTAAAAATCTGGAAAAAAATGAAGAGAAGAAGAAATTCGAAATGCTGGTTAGTGATTTAATTTCTCTTTCTTTCTAATATGTTTTGTCATTGCTGAAATATTTCTCAAAGTTCTTCATCTTGAGCCATTCCGAATTAAAGTTTTTTGGTTTTCAACAGATAATTACTTTGGTAGAAATTTTTGTTGAGGTTGTTGATTTCGGTACATGTTCATTCTGACAGCTGTCCGACTTCGTCCCGCGTCTGGTGCATCTCGAGCGATCTATTCAGCGTCGCATCGGGTTCACGGACGCGTAAAATTTCGGGCTTTGGCCGCGAATATGTAGGTTTCTTTACGTTTTGCTCATCTTATGATCTCATCCTTACATCTTACTCCTTTTGATCTCTTAATGCATCTTTGCGGAGAAACATTTTCGGCCTGTAGTGCTTTTTCCCCTTTTTTTACATAAAATTCGACTCTCTGATAACTTGTGTGATTACAACGAGCTTTCTGAAATATTGATTTTACTTAACTGAATAAATGCATCTTTATTACGGTGATTATTTTTCAATCTTTATTATGTAAATTTGTTCTGTTCAATTATTCGTTGCTCGGTAGAATTGTTATCACGACGAAAATGATATCATAACATTTGTTTCCCTTATAGGAAATATTTTCTTGAAATTGTAATAATAAAACCCACTACCACATGATATATACATATTAAAAATAATACTACCATTTATGTCTCATATCATTATCGTAATTTTTAATAATATCGCATTCCAATAATGTAATGATCATT